AGCGGCTTGCCACTAGCAAGTTCTGCTTAAACCTGTTACATGAACACATTGAAAGAGAATCCAAAGCCTTTATGTATTTCCCATCAGATAAAATGTATGGAGGAAAGAAAATTAAGTCAGCAAAAGTTAGAGCTAGCCTACATAAATCTTTTACTCTAGCAAACTAAGGGAATGACTAGTTCAAAGCAATAAACAGTGAAACAGAAATCGTTTTCTCCAGTTCTATCTACTGTAGACAGTATCAATACCTTCCTTAAAACAAGAAAGAAATTTTATTAGAATTAAGAGAGGAAAAGCTGTAATTGGTTAGCGAGATTTAAGTATTTGCTTTTAGGAGTTTTTTGTTGTTCTTTTATTTTTAAAAAATCGGGATCAGCTGTTATAATTTGTATTATTTTTTAAATTAAGGACCAGCAAATGGTGTCCAAAGTAAGTGATATTTTTTGGACTTGTTCTCTTCGTATATATCAGTAGGTCTATCTAGGAATTATGACAAACTTGTACAGTCCTTTAGCAGGCCTTCAAATGTTGGCAAAGAAACTAATGTCCACATAGTTACACATCCTGTAGAGTAGATCCTTTTACCTCAATGGTCAGCATCACTGTGAATTGTGGGTAAGAGTAATGGGCTGAACTTTTCACACAAAAAAATGACCTCAACCTCTAGCTAACTGCTGTGGCTCTGAGGTGATTACTTTTTTCCTTTTTCAAAGGGAAGCTGCTGTTTCAGCATCTTCTCCTGGAGCCCCTGGCACAGTTTCCGCCCATGTGTCAGGGGAACCTCTAAGTGTATCACTATGACGGAAGCCAATTGCTGGCCTGCAAGCATTGAGGACTGTTTGTTCACAGAAAAGCCTGAGCAGAATGCAGGTGTTACATAGTTCAAAGGTGCCTTGAAGAAAACTGATGCTGTTGTAGGAGGGGACGTCCAGGCTCAAGTTATTTCTCAGTTGCCCTTCCATAGTCTGCTCTCAGCCTTTAGGGAGTCTAGCCAATAGTTTTTGCTTGGGTGTTTTTCTCTGTTTAGTTCCTTGACTTAGCAAGATTTTGGGCAGTTAAAGAATTTTCATGTATTTTTAAGGAGAGCCATAGTGTATCCTACTCCGGCAGGGGTGGGGGGAAGTATTTTATTAATGAATGCAGTATGTGTTCTTGGTAAAAGCCAAAATTAAACTGGCTCACTGTTTTTGTACTGCTAGCTGTCGACATTTAGGTGTGTTGCTTGGTGTGGTGACTCAATTTCCTGTAGGATAGTTGGCAACTCCACTTTGAGGTTTGTTTGGAGGGATGAAAAGGTCAGTTACTTGATGTCGTAGAACATTTGGGGTTAAAATTCCTAAAAGTGAAGCTTTACTAATGATCCTGAAAAATCATGGCTTGCAATATTGCCTCTTCACCTACAAATTTGGAAAAAAGCAATAGTCTCAGCTCTATGCAAATATCAAGAATAAGTCTTTATTTGAGCAACAGTTCCACAGAACAAATTGTTCTTTACTTTGTTGTTAGTAATTATTTTCTCATTAGTATGTAGATGTGTTCCGGTGATTTTTTTTTCATTTTTCATATTTATACAGAAGCTATTAGAACTTAACATGCATGCATACACCACTTTATAATCCTACTGGGTTTCTGTCTGTCAAAATGGCTAGTGCAGCCAGGCGTGGTGGCTCATGCCTGTAATCCCAGCACTTTCGGAGACTGAGGCAGGCAGATCACAAACTCAGGAGTTCGAGACCAGTTTGACCAACATGGTGAAACCCCGTCTCTACTGAAAATATAAAAATTAGCCAGGCATGGTGTTGCATGCCTATATTCCTCCAGCTACTCAGGAGGCTGAGGCAGGAGAATTGCTTGAACCTGGAAGGTACAGGTTGCAGTGACCTGAGATCACACCACTGCACTCCAGCCTGGGTGACAGAACAAGACTCCATCTCAAAAAAAAAGAAGAAGAAGAAAAAAAAAAGGTTAGTACATGACTTGGACATAAAATGGATATGGATATTCTGAAATAAATTGTTCCTCCTGTCACTATACTACCTTCTTAAGAGCAAATCCTTTGTCTAAAGTACATGATGTCTTAAAGCATTAGCCAAAACTTTCCCAAATTACTTTTCCACATTAAAAAATAGCTGAAATATAGTCTGTGGAGCCACATCCTGTTAGATTTGAGGTCTGAGTTTGTACTTGTGATTTCTGAAAAGCTTTGGAACTTGGTGAAAATGTGGGCAGGGGGCAGTTTACTTAGCTACTGGGAAGTCACTTGGGGTTCAGGCTTTGAGAAAGTTGAAGTGCAGAAGAGAGGAACACAGAAAGCCAAACCTCAGAGGGGACTCACGGCTTCATTGTAACCAGTGATTGAAAACATGGCACTAAACAAATCCCAGACACAATGGCTATGCATATTTAATCCACTGGATAGGTTAACTATGGACAGCTCGAATAATCATAAAACAAGTCAATGTCCTCTTAAGAGTTTTTACATTCCTATCTTATACAGTAGAGAGAAGAAAATATCAAAACCAACCCATATAGTAGATGTACTACCATGGCAACTAGGTGATGCTATACTTGCATATGGAAATTATTCAGTAAAACAAAAATGATTGTGTTAGGGCCATAGGCAAAAGTATTGTTTGTGATGATTAGGGTGTGGGATTACAACAGATTACAACAGATATTTGGGTGTAATGCTTCAATTTTTATGACAAGGATGTAATATTTTTACATTCTTAGAATCGGGGAAGCTATACAGATCAAGTATTTTATACTTACCATTTAAAATTATTAATATCTTTAAGCTTGTCCCTTTTGTTAAGAAAAAAAAAAAAAAAGCTTCAGTCTGAAACTTTAATTCACCTGGCAAGGTTTAGGCAGTTGTTTGTCCATCTAAAGTATATATTTACATAGACTGTAGGATGGAGGAAGTAGAACAAAAAAAGAGGCAAATTTTAACCTAGAGTACTCAAAGTGAACAGTAAATAGTTCAAGAATTCTTGATAACAATAAGCCATGGCACATGTAACAAATACTTTAAAAGTTATTCTTTTACAAATTTAATATCAAAAGCTATCTGAAAAAATCTCAGGAGCCTAAATTCAGTCCATGAATTTCTTTGTTGTGCCACTGATAATTTATGGAGTCTAAATTTCAAGGGCAGAATTTCTTCTCCACCAATACCTGTACATTCAAAGACGAAGACAAGGGATCCCACCACTTCATGTAAATTTCTCAGTATCTTCTTTCTACTCGACAATGACAGAGTTTTATAATATTCACTCTTGGGAGTTTGACTTCTCCCCTCTGTGAATGGTTTGCTTACTGCACGCTAATGTAGGGAAGTTCTCCCACACTGATCTGCTTAGGAAGAGTGCCCTTGGTCCTCTGGGCCAGCCTTTCTAAACAGAGCAGACTTACCTATGCCTTTGAACATGTTCTTTTTGTTTTCTCAAAATTGTAGTGTACTCTGCACATGGTGGGTAGAAACACCCTTCCAGATTTTCTTCCTTGGCCCAAGATCATGGGGGTCTTGTGCAATTCACAGGGGAAAGAAGTAGTATGCGGGACATACGTAAATTCTTCTCACCATGTGCTTCATCCACACTGCTGTTCCTTTAAGATCACTCTTAGGCAATTCCGAATACGAAAATGCAGCCTATTGTCAAATCGGTGAATTATAAAGCATTACGACCCCACAACATTGTGTATTTTGTTTGCTTGTTTCTGTCCGCCCCAACACTTAGAAGTCTGGTACTCAGTAGGGGCTGGGCTTGGTAGAAAAAGAATGCAGTCTTAGTAGAAATGCGGGTATTCCCACACCCCTGCCTCCTTGAAGTAGGTGAATCTTAAACCTTCAGAAACGAATCCCCAGAAACCCTAAAACTTAAACTCTCAGAAACCTTGAGGGTCCTAAATAACCTTGTATGCGAAACTTCGCTGGAAACAACCAGCGGTGGAGACGCAGAGGTCCCGGCAGCGGTCGGGGCAGCCTGGAGAGCAGCGGCTCCTCGGGGCGAGCGGCGTTCCCGCGGGGCAGGTGTGCGGCTGTGCGCGCCTGCGCGGCGGTCCCTCCCGAGCCCCGCGGCGGGCCGGACCCCGGGCGGCGGGCTGCAGGCGCTCCACGCCGGGTTTTCCGCCGCTCTCCTCGCACAGACAGTCCCACAGCAGCCCCACAGACACACGCGCTCGCACCTCCCCGGCTGCGCTTCAAAGCGAGCGGCGCCCAGCTGCGCGGGGGGATGGCACGGGGAGGCGGCGGGGCCGCAGGGGCTGAGCCCAAGGGGAAGGACGCGGCCGGTGGCACCGACAGGCTTTCGCAATTCGGAATCTTTTCGTAAGGGGGCTGAGGAGGAGCCAGGCAGCGCCGCGGGCCTAGAGGGGCGTGAGGGGGAGTGTTCCCGGAAAGCTGCGGCGATGGAGCCGCGCTGCGCCCCGCCGCCCTAGGAGTTGAGAAAGAAAACAGGAAACGTGGTGGCCGAGCACCCGGCTGCGGCTGATTCATTCGCTTCAAGTGCGGCGCAGAAGGCTCGGCAGGCAGGGCGGGCGCGGGGCCGCGGCTCCGGGCCGGGACCGAGGAGACCCGGCTGTGGACCCGACGCTCCTCTGCGGGGCGGGCACCCGAGTGCGCGCGCCACCCGCCTTGCCATCCTGTAGAGCTGGGCTCCTGGGCTGGGACTCGGGCCGCCGCACCGTCGAAAAGTCGCGTCGTGGTATTTCCGCCCGCCCGTGTGAAAGTTGGCTCGCAGCTCTTTGCGCGCCCTCCCTGGAGACCGACCCGAGACGCCAAGCTGGAGAGACCGTGCCTCCCCGAGGTCGGCTGCCCCGCCAGCAGAGCCTCCGCCCCCGTCACGCTGCCTGGCTGGGCAATATGAAGGAGCAGCCCTCATGTGCCGGCACCGGGCATCCGAGCATGGCGGGGTATGGCAGGATGGCCCCCTTTGAACTCGCTAGTGGCCCCGTGAAGCGCTTGAGAACTGAGTCCCCCTTTCCGTGTCTCTTCGCAGAGGAGGCCTACCAGAAACTGGCCAGCGAGACCCTGGAGGAGCTGGACTGGTGTCTGGACCAGCTAGAGACCCTACAGACCAGGCATTCCGTCAGTGAGATGGCCTCCAACAAGGTAAGCCCGGGTTCCGTTGTCACCGATGCCCCTAGGCTGCTGATTCCCGCGCTGGCGAGGCCACTAGTACTGGTGGCCCCGGGAAGGAGTGAGAGGTTTTTAGGTTTACTGCATGTTGCCTATTCTGCTCCCTTAGAGGGAGGTTCCTGTTTCCATGCCTTGCCTCTCCTAGTCACTGCTGATAAACATTTTGCAAAAGCAATTTGACGTCGTTTAAGTACCTCCCAAGACACAGGGTTTCTAAGTGACACTGTGCCCTTGCAGCAGAAACCCAGTAGGGTCCATTGGCATTGCATGTTTAAAGGTGTTCTTGGGATTCCCGGTTGAAAATAAGAAATTGGTGACTGTGCAATCACTTGAATGTCACTACCTAGGGCACTCAAACTCAGAAGAGTTCATCGAACTTGGAACCTTCACCCTGATTCATCTAGTAGTCACAGTACCCCACAAGAACTGAGCTTTTATATATTCAGTTGGCCATACACATCCGCAGGAAACATTAACAGAGATAGAAGGTTCATTATGATCATTACTTTTGTTTCCATTAATCTTGGAGAGAAAGCCCAGCTTTTTGAGGTCATTTAGTTACAAGGAGGCTTCAACTAGGCATCTGTGCCATATGTGCTAAGGTGCTGGTCTTGGCAGTTAATGGAGTTTTGAGGGCTGAGAAGTAACCTTCAGCCTGGGACAGCCTTAAAATAGCACGGAAAGCAAGGTAGAGGGTTTTCAGTTTTGCTCTATTTTTTTGGATTTCCTATTCTTTTTGTCTTTAGTTATGCAAGGAGATAATTGGAATTATGTATGTTTTTAATGACTATTTGAGGGACAGGAAAGGAGGCATGTGCATGTCGTATGCAGTTGACTCAAAGATACAGCCAGTAAGGACCGGTAGTGTTGTGTGACAATTAATAATAGTTGCGTCTTCAAGATATTTAGGTATTTTGGGCCACCTATGTACAAGGTCAAGAAGGTTATATTATCTTACAGTTCATCTGTGTGCACATATCTTTCAATGAGTGATGCTTTTTTTTTCTAGCTTACTACGGTTTTTTCCCACCTGTTTTGTTCTCAGGCAGTTTTTACAAAAATGCCACAGCATAACAGCCACTTGATTGTTTTATCTGTTAACATTGCTTTTGTAGATAGCATTGTTGCTTAAGTGAAAAGTTGGCTTCAAATAAATAAAAGGGGTGCTGTAGACACAGCCCGTAAATATTAACCTACCCATGTGCACACTGACCTACCCATGTCCACACTGATGATCAATTCTGGGTTTTTTTTTTTTTTTTTTTTGTCGTTTGTGCCTCATTTCTAAATTTGGCACAGCTCCTCGTCAGAATGACCAATTATTGCTCTCTTACTGGGACTCTTACTCCGTGCTGTGGCATTAGGCACCTTTGTTCTCATTTTGTTATTTAGAAAGAACAAATTCTTAGTTTTATAAAATATAGTTTATTTTTCATAATTTGATTCTTAATAGCAGTAGACACATGCTGAATATGTCCATTGTCTTTACTGCTAAATGGGAACACTTTTCTGTGGACCTGAGTTCTTAATTCTATTGTGTGGTTGATTCTGTGTAAGAAAAGAAAAGCAGAATCAAAAGCCACTTAGCAATGTGCAAGCATTAGTGTATGTTTTCAAGATGATTTGACTGTAGTTTTTCAGCTAGAGGAATTTGAGCAGCTAGGTTACTTTTCCTAAAATCCATATTCTTAATGATGAGACCTATGTTCTAATAATGTATTATAAATGACTTCAGCTGTCAAGGAATTCGTCTGTACGTTAAGAGTTAAAAAATTTTTAGGTCATAATCATTGCCTAAAATGATTCCTTTCTTTTAAAGGTACCAGATAAGACAGTGGTTTTTAAACAATAATCTTTATTATGAAGGCCCCCAGTTAGACTTTGAGTTAATTTACAGGTTTAATAGGAGAGGTTGGTCTGTTTGGTTAAAGTGAAATCCAGGTAAAGTGAGAAGATAGTTTTTTCAACAAGTAGTCATTCTAGCAATGTTTATGTCTTGTGGCTGAAAAATTACAATATTTTTTCCTAGTCTGGGACAGAGCTGAATTGAAAAATTGCTGTCACACTAATTTTTAACATTAAACTTAGCTCAGCTTAAGCTGTTGCTTAAACTTTTAATGTCCAAGCCATTCATGTCTTCTTTAACTTATTTATATCTAAATAAGTGCTAAGCTTACATGACTTTTTGTAGACAAAAATGGGTTAGCACAGAAAGAAGAAAAGCTCTTCCTAAAGGTTGTAAAGTTACCATTCTTCTTGATAACAAGGGCATGGATAAGCCACATCCACAAAAGCTGTAAACCGAGTTGGAGCAGCTGATCCCAACGTTCCTGTGAATGTTGCCACACCTTCTGTCTGAACTGGAAATGTGTACAGCTTGCATCATCTCCACTCAGTTATTTGATATTTCTTGAGTATGAATGAATGAGTCAGAAACACTGCTTTTTGGTTGTTAGTTTTATTACCATCCATTCTTTTTACATGTAAGTGTTCGAACCAACTGATATTTTTCAGTTTATTCTTTTTTTGCCTTTGAAAAATTATGACAGTTTTCTCTGTTCTCTTAAGATTTTAAAAAATACACTCTAATAGAGTGAAAAGCACAATAAAAATACTAGTGAGAGATCAGGATTTTTAAACAGTGATAGAAAATAATTACGGAGATGGATTTAGGTATTAGGAAGGAGGAAATTGATTCCTCAAACCCATTTAACAAATTGGGCTAACACATTATTTCTATGTTTCTTAGACTTCTCAATAAAAGGCCTCAACCAATTAGCAGTTTTTAAATGATGCTCTAGGAGCAACTAGCTGTATTTCCTGTATTGGTATTATAATGTTACTTGCTTGTTGATGGCATTGAAGCAGGAAAATTATTGAATTCTTGGCCAAGGCTAGGGTTGGTTGTAACACATGTAGGATGCTTGTACCGAGTGGAGTAAGAGATTCCAGATGGCATTTAATTTGAGTGATTAAATCTACAGCACTTACCCTTATAAGCACATTAATCTGCCTGAGATTTGTACAGATTTCCTTTGGAACCTCATTGCTACAATCGAGGGTAATTTTGGTGAGGTCTCAAAGCTTTGGAGGCAGGCAGACCTGGAAGTTGAATTATCATTTTGTTTCTTGCTAATGGAGTTACATTAGAGAAATGACTTCAACTTTTTTAGCTTCAGTTTCCTTAGCATAAAATGGACATCATAAAAGCTATTTTGAAAGATCGCTCTTAAGAGTTCATAAGAATATATATAAAAGAGCTAGTGTCTGACAATAGTAGGCACTGTCTGTTGTTATTGCTATTATTTGGGTTTTAGGTCAAACTTCATTGGTTGCCTACATGGCTAAAATGTCTTTTTACCATTTAGTTGTAATTTATACTAGACGTTTTAAGTTTCACGGATTTTTATAATTCTTAGATAACAGTCTATAGCACACATTTCTGTATCACAAAAATGCTTAAGTTATATTTACAGCTTTTTTTTTTTTTTTTTTTTTTGGTATAATACAGACATGAACATTCTGAAATTCTAATTAGAGGTTTAGGCTTTTCTTAAATTCCAGTTACAAAATGCCAGACAGAAGAGCTAAGTACTTTTTCTGTTTTACTCTAAAACTGAAAACTCAGACCTTACTAATTTTTAGAACATGTAAAATGTAATATGGGTTGGTGGGCAAAGTGCCTTTTCAGTAAAACACCTTTAAAGCAGAATACTTTCACAGTGTTTTTGGTTACCTTTCTGTCATGGAAAGTATATCGAGGATGGGAGTTAGTGGCGAGGAGAGCAGGACAGGGGTCTGGGCCTCAGGGCTTTCAACGATTGTGCTGTGGAACTCTGTAACTTCATCCTCTTGTGACCTCTAATAATGCACATGTCACCAGGCCTTCTCTGTAAGTTCAGTGAGGTTCAAAGGAGAAAATTAAACTTTTAATGTCAATTTTTTTTTTTTCGATTTAATAAGTTCTCCCCAAGACATATCACTAGAAAAATGTGTTTTGTTTCTGCTCTCTAGTTTTGGGGGCAGTTTGAGGTTTGGCATTGCTGGAAACGACTGTGTTTCAAGCTGAAAGTGTCTTGAAGTTAGAATCTAGCCTCTTTCTAAGAGACTTCAGATTTTTCTATAGTTCATTCCAAATGTTCTTAGACCAGCTTTACAAATGTGGTCATGACTTCTTTATGGAATTTATTTTGTGTGTTCGACTTTTGGCAAACCTCTCTAGCATGTTTCTGTTGCCTATAAATTAAATTGCTTTTCTGGGGTGCTTTGTGTTAGTGCTTTCTCTGGCTGCTCCCCCTACTGCTTTGTAATAGTCAGTGCAGAACATACATAGTAGCACTTTTTGTTGATGTATTTTCTTCTGGACAAGAGGGGTGTTGTAATAAATATAGGATCTTCATAGAGGCGGCTAAATCTTAAGCTGTTTCTGCATTATGCAAATACAGAGTAACTCAGAATAGAAATAAATGTTAAACTTTTGCTACGAAGGAAACTAAGTTAATTGGAAAAGGCATTTTAGTTTTATGGAGAGAAAATAGCCTCAGTTGTTTTCTACATTAACATATTAAATCTTAGATGTAATAATTGTTGACTTAATATGCCTAAATAAAAAGTTTAAATTTCAGAAGAAAATATCTTTCATAGTTATAGAAAATCAACATTTAGATGTTTTGAGTTTGATACCTTTTTCATCTACTTAATAAAGGTAGATTTGGGAAAGATTTATATAGCTTACATATAGTACCTAAAAGTTGATATGAAGGATTGAGAATCATATAATCGCTGTTAGAAAAAATAGTTTATTTTCTTTTAAGTAATAATAGAAGAGGGAAACAGTTTTAAAGGAAATTTTTCTTTCACTGAAGTAGAGCCCTTGACTTTAACTTAGCATACAACCAAGGATTAAAAAAAAATTTTAATTTGTCTCTATTGTCATCCGTTCAGTTCCTGTGTCAGTATTTAGTGACAGTAAG